ACAGTTACTTTTCCTTGGCTGTGCTATAATTATCTGTTAGATTCCTCTATCTTCAACCGGAATGATGTGTGGGTCTTAGTTATATTTTTACCCCACATATTTAGAGCAGAGTATGGAAAGTCCATGACGAGCATGTTAGTACAGGAAGGAGTAGATGAGAGCCATGGGGTGTTTGGGATGTCCTTCTGGCACACAGTGTCCCCCTTCACACCTTCTGTACAACTCTGAGGATGAGAGTCTCCTCGTGTCAGGTGTTCCTTCTGGGGAAGGATGGGGAGCAAAGCTCAAGCCTCCATTACTTCCCCTTGCAGACAAGGCCATCTGTATTGGTCTGGCGCTAGCTGCATTTCAGTCCCCAGCAATGACTAGCCTGTCGCTGTTAGTGTAGATTCCAACCAGATGGAGCAGACCCTCAGGTGAATAGGGCAGGTGGATGCTCATATTAGACTTAGTTATGTAATCGTCATAGCTGAGCATGCATTTTGGAGAAGGATGAAACCACATTAGTTCCCACAGAGGCCTGAGTTTCAAGTAAAATAAGAAAAGCTTTGTGTTTAGGTGAGAGAATAAAATTGTCCAGATTATCAGATGACAGGAGTCTTCCTTGTTTGTGTGTATTCTGTGTACTTCTTTGCTGGGGAACATAGGGAGGCAATCCCATACAACAGTACCCTTACTATCATCTGTTTAAGAAATTTTTTTATTGTTATGTTAATCACCATACATTACATCATTAGTTTTTGATGTAGTGTTCCCACTTACTATCATCTTGACTAGCATCTGTCTTCCCTGCTGAGATGAGGTGGAGTCTTTGTTCTGGAAGACGAAGGAAGAAGCTGCTGGGCAGATCGCCATGGAGTTAGGGACAGAATTTTAACCAGTTTGCTGTTGCAGCCTGGGTCTCACTATTTCCCACAGGGACCCTTGTCAGGGAAGGGCAAGCACTGAATGCTGGTGTTGCAGAGCACAGACTTTCCAGTCTCTCTTCATGTTTGCTTATTTACAATTTGTTCTTGTGATCAGTGGCTGTTGGAAACACAAGGCAGTCACTGAGTATCAGTTTCTACATCTGTAAACAGGGGTAATAGCATGACCCCGCTGAACGGTCACCAGTGAAGGCACCAAAAGGGGGCAGAAATATTTCAGAATTCCTGGTCTCTCTTCTCCTACTTTACCTGGGGGTAAAGTTTTTCCAGCTTCCTATGTCTGTCCATTGTTGCTATTCAAGATTGCAGCCACCTCTTTCTTAATTATCTATTTTTAAAAAATTTAAGAGAGAGAGCGCGCGTGCAAGAGTACAGGTAGGTGGAGCGGCAGGCAGAGGAAGAGAGAGAAGCAGACACCCTGCTGAGCAGGGAACCTGACATGGGGCTCAATCCCAGGACCCCAGGACCACGACCTGAGTCAAAGGCAGATGCTTATCCAGCTGAGCCACCCAGGAGCCGTTAATTATCTATTTGCAGGGCTCCATCGTCCCATGGATTCCATAGGTATGCCATATAATCCAGTTTCTCCGGCCATGCGGGCACAATTTCACCGATAGCAACTCAACTCCACCAACCTTTCTGGATGCCCCCTGAGCATATAGTGCTTTGTGGGGGACTAGGCTCCTAATGTTGATGAGTACACAGACGGCGGCGCCCTTGAGAAGCTCTCTATCTAAGGCTAATAGGTGTCCAGGGCTGGAGGGTAGAAAGGGTAATCATAGAACTGGGGCTGGGGGGACAGAAGTTTCCCAGAGGATGAAGTGGTTATATGTGTTCAAGGAGATTGGTGAGGGAAGACTCTACCAGAGGGGATTCTGTCGGAGCTGGGTTTGAACGATGAGTAGGATCCTTGTAGGGGGCACAGGGACATTTTTAGGCAGAGGAAACTACATGGGTGAAGATGTGTAGATCTACACGTTCTTGTTTGAAGAGTTTCAAGTATTTAGGGGTGCAGGGAGCCACGCTGACAAGGATGGGTTAGAGATTTAAGGATAGTGACTTTAATGAGTTTCGCTAACCTTTGAGATTACTGATAACACTGAGTTATTTATTGATTTCCCACAGAGTAGGAACTCATTGGAGGTCAAACTGGGAGTATGCAGGATGCCTTGCCAGCACGCACGACTGGGGGGGGCACCTGCGGGTGGAGCTCGGGGGGGGCCCTGCTACTGGCTGTAGCTCTAGCTCCGCCCCTTTTTCGGTAGAGACATTCCAGCGTCACTGAATCACCACTGGTGGGAACGGAAGCTCCGCACACACAGGCCAGCAAAGACTAGCAACCCTGCTGAACGAAAGGAAAGAGAATTCATAGAGGAAAAGTGGCCATGGACCTGATCCCAAGCTTTTCCATGGAAACCTGGCTTCTCCTGGCTACGGGCCTCGTGTTCCTCTATCTGTGAGTAACTGTCCAGGCTCATTGCCTCTGGAACCCTGGACTTGGGTTGCTAATCAGCATCTACCCCGTTTTCCTCGCCTGTTTTGAGGATCAGAAAAGTTAACAAAGGGGAAGCTCCTCAAGTGTTGGGTGCTTCCAACATGCTAAGAACACATAAAGCGTTATTACTGACCTCATCAGATCTGCTGATCTGCTGAAGCCCCCACACCCCAACTCCAATTTCTGTAGCTAGGAGGTAGAGTGACATTATTTGCTCCTAGGGATGATCTTCTGATTGACTACCAGTTGGGACCTGGAGTAACCCAGCAGAATTCAGCAGAGGCAGAGTAAAATCAACAGGCCCCGGTGCTCTGGGGTCCTCACCGCCTTCCAAGCTGTGGGGCATTCTGGAGGCAGAGGGAGTGCCTTGGGTCTTTGTCTCATTATCTTCACCTTCTCCTCTCTGTCCACTGCAAGAGATGTGTAGAAGGACTGCGCCTGTGTCACTCAGGTGGCTCCTACTCCCCTTCCTCTACCACCAGGCATCATGGACGCAGGGCACCTGGTGCACCCAGACTTCCAGGGGGGCTGCAGATGCCTCGCCTTCCTCTCCTGACTGGCCTCTTCCCTCTTTTCTGCCCTTCTCCTGGCCATTAACGCCGTGCCCCCCATAATATACAGAACACTTTACCCCTAAATGAGCATCTTTAGAGCTGAGGAGACTTGGCAGATTTCTTAAAATTGTATTCATGTCACCTTTTCTTTCCGGTCTCTAGGAAGGTTAGCATCAGTATAGACTTTTTTTTTT